CACCTTACTCTTTTTTTTTGCTTCCCCCTGAGAGGGGATCTTGCCAGTGTATGCCAGGGCTGGTCCTTGAACTCCTGGACTCAGGTGTTCCTCCTGACCTTCAACCTCTCCCAAAGTGGTAGGTTACAGGCGGTAGTGAGTTACGCATGCTTGGCCTTAAACCACTTAGGTCTTTATCGTTGTTTGAGAGCAGTGTCTTCACTGTGTTTGCCAGTGCTGGATGGTCAATGTGCGCAACTCTCGTCCTCACTGCAAACGCTCTGCCTCCCAGGGTTCAAGTGATTTCTCCTGCCTCAGCCTCCTGAGTAGCTGGGATTACAGGTGCCCACCACCATGCCTGGCTAATTTTTGTATTTTTAGTAGAGACAGGGTTTTACCATGTTGACCAGGGCTTGTCTTTGAACTGCTGACCTCAAGCAATTCACCCACCTTTGCCTCCCAAGTGTTGGATTGCCAGGTGTTGAGCCGCTGACCTAAACCACCTTATTCTTTTTTTTTTTTTTTTTTTTTTTTTTTTTTTTTTTTTTTGAGACAGAGAGTCTTGCTCTGTCACTCAAGGTGGAGTGGTAGTGGCATGGGTCAGCCACTACAACTTCTGCACTCCTGGGTTCAAGTGATTCTCTTGACTCAGCCTCCTGAGTAGCTGCGATTACAGGCATGCACCACCACGCCTGGCTCAATTTTTGTATTTTTAAGTAGAGATGGGATTTCACCATGTTGGTCAGCCTAGTCTCAAACTCCTGACCTCAAGCAGTCCACCCGCCTCGGCCTCCCAAAGTGCCGGGATTACAGGCATGAGCCACCACACCCAGCCTGAATCACTTATTCTTGATGGGCTTTCAATTTATCCTGATATTTTACATTTTTTGATTATAGTAAGTGATGATTTAATAGTGATTAGCTTATGTTTAGGGTTGTTATAGAAACGTTAATACTTATGCTTTTTTGAGATGGAGTCTCACTCTCTTGCCCAGGCTGGAGTGCAGTAGCATGTTCTTGGCTTACTGCAGTCACCACCCCCCCGAGTTCAAGCAGTTCTCCTGCCTCAGCCTCCTGAGTAGCTGGGATTTCAGGCACATGCCACCATGCCCGGCTTATTTTTGTGTTTTTATTAGAGACGTGAGTAGTTTCCCCTGTTGGCCAGGCTGGCCTCAAACTCCTGACCTCAGGTAATCCACCTGCCTCACCCTCCCAAAGTGTTGGGATTACAGGCGTGAGCCACCATGCCTCCCAATACTTACACTTACTGACCTAAGCATTGCAGTAGTTCTTGAGGTACACAGTTGTGTTCTTGAAAATGAAAGCTTCATCGAGTTTTAAGTGAATCTTGCGGACAATTAATCTGGAGTTCCTAACAAAAGTTATTTAATGACTTGATTATTTGAGCATTTTACATTTTGATACACTTAAGAAGCTAACAAATCATTTCCCTGTGTGATCTTTGAGATTCTTACTAAATAAATTGGTTACCTTCTCAGTTTCTTGTTCCCTTCCTTCATAAAGTCATTCGTTCAACAAATATCATCAACTGGCTACTTTGTGCCAAACATTTTTTAGGAGTTCTGATAGATGAAGTCCCTGTTTTGTATAGTTTCCATAATAGTGAAAGAGTGGAGGGAGACAGACAATAGGGAAATAAATGGACAAGAATTTAAAATAGCATTAGGTACAATAAAGAAAGCATAATGTGTTGATATGATACAGTGACTTGGCAAGGGACCAGGGAGACAACAGATCCTGTGGCCAAAGAAGGCCTCTTTAAGGAATTGCTATCTAAGGTGAGACTTGAACCATAAAACAGAGCCAGCTGTTAAGAATTGGAGGGGACAGAGGAAGGAGTCCGGGCATGGTGGCTCATACCTGTAATCCCAGCACTTCGGGAGGCGGAGGTGGACAGATCACTTGAGCCCAGGAGTTTGATACCAACCTGGGCAACATGGCGAAATCTCATCTGTACAAAAAATACAAAAATTACTCAGGCATAGTGAAATGCACCTGTAGTCCAGCTACTCAGGAGGCTGAGGTTGGAGGATTGCCTGAGCCTGGGAAGTCAAGGCTGCAGTGAGCCATGATTGCGCCACTGCACTTCATCCAGGGTGTTAGAGTGAGACCTCATCTTAAAAAAAAAAAAAAAAAATTGAGGGAGGAGGGGAGGCTAGTGGGATCAGCCAGTGCAAAGACATAAGGCTGATGTGGTCTTACCTTGTTGCAGGAGCGAAGGAAACCTAAAGTGGTCAAGCATAGAAGTAGAGAATTATGACGAGGTTGGTAGGAGTTGAGACTAGAGGCCTGTCTGAGATTTTTAACTTTTTTTTGTGCTGTGGACCTTCTTGGCTACTGTTGAAGCCCATTAGTAGTGTTTTTAAATACATAAAATAAAACGCAGAGTTACAAAGGAAACCAATTGTATTGAAATATACTTACCAAAATATGAAACAAATTCTTGATGTAAGAATGTCTTTTTTATTAATGCATTGAAAAATACCTGACAGAAAGCCTACTACTTGACTTCCGAAGTAAGAGTGAGGTTAAATAATGCTTTAAAATATCTCAAAACTAATATGATATGAAAATATAGCTGGTGATTTAATTAGTAACAAAGACACAGGTACTGGTAATACTGCCATGGCTTATTGCCTACATTAATAATTAAAGCAAACGCTAAATTTCAGCTAGAGGCTAGAGGAAATAAAACTAGAATTTTCTTCTTTGTTTATGTACTGCTATGAATACCAGGAGTCCTTTGGTTAAGACCTCAGGATAGCTTGTGTAGGGCCTTCCAGCCTGTGATCACTGGTGGAGAATGTAGCTTTACAAAATCTAGTTGGAAATTGGCAACTGGGGTTTGGTACAAGTTACAAGGAAGGGAAGAAATTTAAGATGCTAGTGAAAGCTTGGAGGATAAGGGAGCGGGAGAACTCGTAAGAAAGTTTATAAACTGAGAAGGGCTGGAGCAAAGTGGGCTCGTGTGCTTGAGGAGCCAGAGGACATGTTGAGGGTGACATAGGTTCTGAAGTTCATGCAGATATTTATGCAGTATGGATTCTTGGAAAACCTTCTTCAGTCATGTGCTAGAAAAATAACAGCTTATGGAAAAAACAGGGTTGAAGCAGACCTGAAAATACATGAATTTTTAAAAACCACTTCTAACAGAAGCATAACAAACTGTAATAAAAACTGTGGCCTTCCTGGCATTTGCACCCAAGCACCAGCATTAGCCAACTCTTTGAAGCCTTAGATCTGTGGCTGTTGTTTTCTCCTTTGAGATGTAGGTCCTTGAGGGCATTTGCTTCTAATAGAGGCTAGTTTCGTCAGAAATAAAAATCTGAACCATGGTATGAAATTGAATTCTTTTTTTTTTTTTTCTTTTTCGAAAACACTGGCAAATGTTTTGTACCCTTGAGCTTTCCCACATATCTTAACATAGTGAGTGGAAAGTACAGTGGCTGTTAAGCCAACTACTCTGAGGTCTTCACTGCTAAGGCTTACTCTTCATTGTGTGAGAGCTTAACCTTGATCCCTTTAAAACATTAATGGGCTGGAAAAAAAATCATTCATAAACCAATGCCACCTCTGAATTTTGCTGCCACGATTCCCTTATTTACCAATAGTGCATGAGCTAATTTGGAATAAAGAACTATGCATTGTAGCACAGCAGACATTGTGTGGGCAAAGTGTTGTTTTTATTCTGTCTAAATAGTGCTTCACACGTATGTACATATTTTCTAAATATGTATAGATGCTGTTGTGATTAATAATAAAACATGAACCCTTAAAACAATTTTGCTGACTTCATAGTAGTTTTTCATCATTTTCTCAATAGCTGCTAAAATTTCTGGAGAAGTTTGGGAACTGTTGCTTTGGAGTGAAATGCAGTGTGTTAGGTATCACTTGCGGAATTCTTCTAAGGGAATTTATTGGCGATTAAAAAAAAAATCCTTGCGTTATACCAGTAGTAATACAAAGTAACTTGTTGAGCTTCTGTTAAGTGTCAAGGACTGTACAAGTATGGTGTATAGTTATCTCATTTATTATTTCTGGGTAGCTATTATTATTCCTTTGCACAAAAAGGGAAAATGAGGCTCAAAGTATCATGCTCTAGATAAGAGAGCCAATGGGTAGCAGAGCTGGGATCGTTACCCAGGTCTCTAGTCCTGCCTACTTTTTCACAGTATATACTCCATTGCTTCACTTACTCCTTCATACATGATTCCCCAGCATATGCTCTTTTTTTTTTTTTTTTTGAGATAGAATCTCGTTCTGTTGCCCAGGCTGGAGGGCAGTAGTGTGATCTTGGGCTAACTGCAGCCTCCACCTCCTGCGTTCAAGCAATTCTCCTGCTTCAACCTCCCGAGTAGCTGGGACTGTAAGCCTGTGTTACCACACCAGGCTAATTTTTGTATTTTGAGCAGAGATGAGGTTTCACCTTGTTGGTCAGGCTGGTCTCAAACTCCTGAGCTCAAGTGATCTGCCTGCCTCAGCCTCCGAAAGTGCTGGGATTATAGGCATGAGCCACCATGCCCGGCTTCCCCATCATGTACCCTTAAATACCATCAAGTACAGTTCCATTGTGTAAAAACTTGGCTTGATTTAATCTGTTAATTGGAACACTGTTATTAATGGAAATTAGGAATATGACGTAAGCTAGAGATTTTATTTTAATGACTTTGGGTTATTAAATCTATAAGAAATGAAATTCATTTAGTCATAATTAATGTCATATTTCTGCATCTGTATTACTTGTTGGATTTACAGACAAGGGAGGTAATGTATTATTAGTGGGAAGCTTTGAGTGCTACATCATTTCCCTTCCTATAAAATAACTTGAGTACTAAACAATTTGAATTAAAACACCTGAGTAAATTGTAACTTTGGAGACCTACTGTACTATTTGTAACTTTTGGATCAAATGATGCTTGTTTATCTCAGTCACATTTTTATGATTTGTATTTTGTAAAAATGAGATCTTTTTATTTGTTTGTTTTACTACTTTCTTTTAGGAAAACACCAGAAATTATTGTTGGCAGTTTTTGTGACTCCTCTTACTGATCTTCGTTCTGATTTCTCCAAGTTTCAGGAAATGATAGAAACAACTTTAGATATGGATCAGGTATGCAATATACTTTTAAATTTAAACAGTAGATATTTTTTAAAAACAAAGGCCACATTAAGAAAGCGTGTAGATTTTTCTTTTTAGTATCTAATTGTAGCACCTTTGTAGACAGTGGACGTAAGACGAAGTGACAGATGGGAAAAGGATTTTTTTTAAAAATAGCAACTTTCAGTGGATGAAATACAGATTAGCAGAGGAAATGAATATTGGGCATAACTGTCCTGGTTAAAGACAATCTCATAAATGAACAATTTCATAAATGCAACTGCATTTTATTTTCAAAGAGAAGGAAAATTATAGTCACTGGAAAAGGAAAGAGAAGTTAGAGGTAAACATAGGACACACAAGAAAACTTTCATTTTGTTTGTTTTCTTGTTTTTCTTTTGAGACTGGGTCTCCCTCTGTTACCCAGGCTTAAGTGCAGTGACACTGTCATAGTTCACTAACCTCTCAAACTTCTGGGTTCAAGTAATCCTCCTGCCTTAGCCTTAGTAGCTGTAAATACAGCTGTGTACCACCACGCCTGGATACTTTTTTAAAAACTTTTTTATAGACATGAACTCTCGCCGTGTTGCCCAAACTGGTCTCAAAACTCTGGCCTCAAGCTATCCTCCTGCCTCGGTCTTAGCCTCCCAAAATGCTGGGATTTCAGATATAAGCCACCTTGCTGGGCCACTTCTGTTTCTTTTCCACGTAGAGAGTTCTTTGCAGGAGGAGGTTAGAATATGTATGCATCTCCTAAGTAGTTGTTGAATATAACTAAAAAGTTAACCAGGACTCTAAATACTATTTACTTCTAAAATTTCTTGTTAATTGAGAACATTTAGGGTTTAAGTGATCTATATCTCGTGTCTTTAACAATTTTGAGCAATAACTGTATGTAAAGTGAGAACAGTTTGTGAAATAGTTGAAAATATCCTTACATGAAAGTGAATTTTAAAGCACAGTTTATGACATGGTAATGCTTTGTTTTGAATCTGTTAAAAATTTGTTTATATGAACAAGTTTACCAGTTTACTATGGTGAGCCCATTGAATATAGTGGGGTTTTTTTTTCCCCCCCTGAGATGAAGTCTCACTCTTGTCCCCAGGCTGACGTGCAATGGCGTGATCTTGACTCACTGCAATCTCTGCCTCCTGGGTTCAAGTGATTCTCCTGCCTCAGCCTCCCGAGTAGCTGGGATTATAGGCGCCTGCCACCAAACCCGGCTAATTTTTGTATTTTTAGTAGAGACAGGGTTTCATCATGTTGGCCAGGCTGGTCTTGAACTCCTGACCTCAGGTGATCCATCTGCCTTGGCCTCTCAAGTGCTGGGATTACAGGTGTGAGCCACCATGCCCGGCCTGAATATAGTGTTTTTAATTTGCAAGACTTTAAAAATAGTATTTTGAAATTTTTCTAAGTTAAATTCCCTGTTAAAATGGTCGTGCAGGAATGTATGCTTGCATTATTCATATTAGGGTAACCGTTTGGTTTGCTAGTTTAAGTCAGATTCTTTGCATTACTTTTTTTTTTTTTTTTTTTTTTGAGATGGAGTTTCACACTTTTTGCCCAGGCTGGAGTGCAAGGGCGCTATCTCGATACACCTCAACCTCCTCCTCCTGGGTTCAAGCAATTCTCCTGCCTCAGCCTCCCAAGTAGCTAGAATTACAGGAATGTGCCACCACACCCGGCTAATTTCGTATTTTTAGTAGAGATGGGGTTTCTCCGTGTTGGTCAGGCTGGTCTCAAACTTCCAGCCTCAGGTGATCAGCCCACCTCAGCCTCCCAAAGTGCTGGGATTGCATGCGTAAGCCACTGCTTCCCTGCCCCCACACCCTTTTTAAAAAATGAGACAGAGTTTTATTCTGTCACCCAGGCTGGAGTGCAGTGGTGCGATCATGGTTCACTGCAGCCTTGAATCTGGGCTCAAGTGATTCTCCCACTTCAGCCTCCCAAGTAGTTGGAACCATAGATGTGCACCACCACACCTGGCTGATTTTTAAATTATTTGTAGAGATGATAAAAATAAAAAACCTGCTGCCATGATTCAATTACCTCCCACCGGGTCCCTCCCATGTCACATGGGGATTATGGGAGCTACAACTCAAGATGAGATTTGGGTGGAGACACAGCCAAACCATATCAGATAATAAATTGTGGAGAGCCAACAAGATTGAAGAAAGAGGTTTGAGCTTCGAGGGGTGGCAAATTGTGGGAAGGTAAATATGTGGGGCAAACTAATGGAAGGTAAAGGTTGTTTTAGTAAGGTTTGTTTTGCATACCCAAATCAAGGTGCCATCTCCAGTGATTTAAGAGTCTATGGTGATCAAGAGTAGTTCTTTTGTAGTGCACGTCTTACATGATGGGCAGGAGCAAGAGAGAGAAGGGGGAGGTGCTACACACTTTTAAACAACTAGATCTCAGGACAAGTCAGTCACTATCATGAGAAGAGTACCCAGGGGACACCACCCTCATGATCCAGTCACCTCTCACCAGGCTCCACCTCCAACACTGGAGATTCCAATTCCAATTCAATGTGACATTTGGGTGGGGGCACATATCCAGATCATATCTCCTCATATAGCTGAATGGTATTCCCTGATGGACATACCACATTAATTATTAATTTATTGATTGATTAACAGGATCCTGCTCTGTTGCCGAGACTGGAGTGCAGTGGTTTGATCATAGCTCATTGCAGGCCTTGAATTCCTGGGCTCCAGTGATCCTCCCACCTCAGCCTCCTGAGTACCTGAGATTATAGGCGTGTGCCACCACACCTGGCTAATTTTTTTATTTTTTAGTAGAGACACGGTTTTTGCTATGTTGACCAGGCTGGCCTTGAACTCCTGGGCTCAAGCAATCCTCCTGTCTTGGCTTCCCAAAGTTGTAGGATTACAAGTATGAGTTTAGAGAGGTATAATTTCTTACTCAACTCCAAGTATTTTATTTCTATTATCATTTGTTCTTTGGTTTGTTAATTATTTAGAAGTATATTTTTAAATTTCCAAGCTTGGTGTGTATCCGTTTCATAAAAGTTCCCCATGTATTTAAAATTTGGATGTGTACTCTACTTTTGGGATTGTTTTTTCATTTCATTGTCTATATATGCTCGCTAATTTTTGATCTGCTGGGTTACTGAGAAAGATGTGGGTTTCTCCATCTAGGTCTGTTTTTGGTTAATATGTGAGGCACAGAGCTGTTGTTTTTTCTGGTGAATTGAATCTTCATCATTCTTTAGGGACTCTATCCTTAATTAATAATGCTTTTTTGCCTTACATTTTGTCTCATTGTAAGAGAGCTATATCAGAGTACTTTTTAAAACACTTTTTAATATGGTGTATATTTTTTCATTTTTTTGTGAGGTTTTTTTAACCGTAAGTTTAAGCAAAATAAAGCCTATAACTGGATTTTATGTACTTTTAAATTTAATTTGATTTTTTTTTTTTTTTTTTTTGTGAGGTGAAGTCTCACTCTGTCACCCAGGCTGGAGTGCAGTGGCGCAATCTCGGCTCACTGCAGCCTCTGCTTCCCAGGTTCAAGAGATTCTCCTGCCTCAGCCTCCCTAGTAGCTGGGATTATAGGCCCGCTGCCACGCCTGACTAAGTTTTTGTATTTTTAGTAGAGACAGGGTTTCACCGTGTAGGGCAGGATGGTGTTGATCTCCTGACCTTGTGATCTGCCCGCCTTGGCCTCCCAAAGTGCTGGGATTACAGGCGTGAGCCACCGAGCCTGGCCAAAATTTTAAATTTTAATATTATATTGAATTTCTTTTGGTTGGTTTAAATTGAGAAAGTTATTTTGTGTATATTCTCTTTTTTGTTAGCTTTCTGTAATTTGATTTTAATTCCTTATTCCTTGCATAGTTTGCTTCTGGTATGTGAAAGTGTACTCTCTAAGTGGATAGTAATTAGGAATAATTTATCTCAACCTCATTTATTGAATAATTTAAATCAAGAGAACGGACTCACTCTGTTATATTAAGCTTCCATACATAATTGTCTGCCTAATTGTAATGCCTAGTAAGGATACACTTCATTCTTTTTTTAGATGTTCTTTCACAATTTCATGTAAATTTTAGTTGTATTGTTTCAAAAAAGAATTCCTATCGGACAATCTGTGGAAATACATAGCTTATTAATATTAGATCTAGTTTTCTCTTTTCATAGTTTACCTCTTTCTTTCTTTCTGTCTGTCTTTCTGTCTTTCTTTAACTGAGTCACACTCTGTCACCCAGGCTGGAGTAGAGTGGCACGATCTTGGCTCACTGCAATCTCCGCCTCCCATGTTTGAGTGATTCTCCTGCCTCAGCCTCCCAAGTAGCTGGGACTACAGGTGCACACTGCTACGCCCAGCTCATTTTGTATTTGTAGTAGAGATGGGGTTTCACCATGTTGACCAGGCTGGTCTCAAACTCCTGACCTCAAGTGATCCACCTGCCTTGGCCTCCCGAAGTGCTGGGATTACAGGCATGAGCCGTGGCGCCGGTCCAATTCCTGTAGTTTTTTAATCAGTTGAATTTAACATTTATATTCTTCTTTTAAATCTTCGAATAGGCAATTATCTTTATAAAGGTCCTATATAATCAAGACTTTGTTTCTGAATATTTTATGTAGTTTTTGCTATTGTAAATGAGATCTATTTTTCGTTGTGGTTTCTTGCTGTTATTACTGGTAAGAATTTAGTGAAACAAAGTACTTATGAGTATATTTTTAAATTGTGAGATTTTGATTAACTTTTAAGAAAATTCTTTCGTTTCTTAGAGCTTTTTGAGATTTCTAGGGTATATCCTTGGTTTGGGCAACATACAACTATTACAAGTTTTGCACATTGAACATTACTTAGTAATTTTTAGGGAGAATGTTTTAAATGTTTAGGAAAAATATAAATAAAATGTAGAATACTATTAGGGACATATACATCATCAGCACTGTATCTGTTTCATATGAATCGTTTTTATACATATAGAACTCTGAAGTCCTAATGAACAGAATTTTCCATCTCAGTAAATAGAAACTCCTTAATAGTTGTGACTGAATAACTTATGGATAGCAAATTATTTAACTGAAAACAGTAAAATTTAAGTGGGAGGAAATATTTGCTTTATAATTTCTGTCTTTACCGATTATTTATAGGATTTTGTCACTTTGTTCTGTTTGCAGGTAGAAAACCATGAATTCCTTGTAAAACCTTCATTTGATCCTAATCTCAGTGAATTAAGAGAAATAATGAATGACTTGGAAAAGAAGATGCAGTCAACATTAATAAGTGCAGCCAGAGATCTTGGTAAGAATGGGTCATTGGAGGTTGGAATAATTCTTTTGTCTATACAGTGTCTGTCTATGTTGATGCCAGAATTATTTTATAAGTTTCCTGTCCCCAAGATGATGACTCCACATTCTTGTCAAACAGAAGTCGCCCTACAGGCCCTTGTATGATGTCATTTAAACAAGCCCTATTTTAAATGTCACCTCCACTGGTAACAGGATACTCCTAGGAGGATCACCAAACCCGATTCTCCTAGGAGTAGTGCATTGATTTGGCTTTGGGGTTTCCAAGCATTTCATTAATGCCAATTTTTGGAAAAAGTCTGTCTTCCATACCAGCTTATTAATTCCCTATGGGTTCACACTTTTTTCTCCTCTGGATTTTCATCAAACATGTGTAAGGTGCTCAGTACAAAGAAGTTTAGAAATCCAGAACAAAACAGTGTATTTAAGCAGTAATAAATTTCCGGATAATCTGATGCCCATACCTACATATATAAAAAATTTGCAAATAGTTTCTGTAGAGAGTCCAAACATGGACTAGATCCCTAATTAAGAACTTTTGCATTAAAATCCATCTTCCTCATTTCATAGCTAAGGATATTAAGGCTCAGAGAGTTTATGTATCTGGAGTTAACGTTATTTTGTATTTCCTTAATAATTTTTGACTTAATAGAAAGTTAAAGTACCTGCACATTTCTGTGTTTTACCGTATGTTAACTTGTTTGGCTGGAAGTTTTTCTGCTGATAATTGGTTTTATGAGGGAAGAATCCTGTTAAGAATGCATCATTGGACTGGGCATGGTGGCTTACACCTGTAGTAATCCTAGCACTTTGAGAGAGACCAAGGTGGGCAGTTTGCTTGAGTCCAGGAGTTCGAGATCAACCTGGGCAACATGATGAAACCCTGTCTGTACAAAAAATACAAAAATTAGCCTGACATGGTGGCATGCACCTGTGGTCCCAGCTACTCAGGAGGCTGAGATGGGAGGATCACTCGAGCCAGGAAGGTCGAGGCTACAGTGAGCCATAATTGCACTACTACACTCAGCCTGGGTGACAGGGTGAGATCCTGTCTCAAAATAAGAAAAGAGAATGCATCATTGGCCAGGCACAGTGGCTCACGCCTATAATCCCAATACTTAGGAGGATCACTTCAGCCCAGGAGTTCAAGACTAGCCTGTGCAACATAGACCACATTTCTACCAAAAATTAAAAGGAAAAAAATTTGCTGGGTGTGGTGATGCACACCTGTGGTCCTAGCTACTTAGGAGGCTGAGGTGGGAGGATTGCTTTAGCTTGGGAGGTTGAGGCTACAGTGAGCCATGATAGTACCAATGTATTCCATCCAGCCTGAGGGACAGAGTGAGAGTGACACCTTGTCTTTAAAAAAAGAAAAAAAAAGAATGCATCATAGTATACATTAAATTATTGCCTATTTTTTTGATCTATTTTATTGAGTGCTAATGAGAAAATGGCAAAAACTTGTTTTTTACGGTATAAATTAAGTTTAATTTCATTTAAAATTAAGTAAGTTTGTTTTATTAAAAAGTATGTTGAAAGCAACATAAATAGCACTCAAATTGAGACAGAAACACTGTAACTGTAGTGTAAGAACATTAGGCTGGGAGTTGGGAAACACGAGTTCTAGTTTCAGCTTGGAAATTTTTTCTGAAGCTCTTTACAAATTATTTAATTTCTCTGGTTTTCACCACATTCTACTGTAGCATTAACATGTTGGATTCATTGCTTTAATTCTTAGACCTACTTAGGTCTTTAATTCTTAGACCTTAGTGTCATCAGAAATGCCATTACACTTTGAGGATGTGAGCCTCATTTTAAATAAAGTTGTGATCCTCATGGCAGCCTCGGTTTACATGTGTTAAATAAACAGTATTCTATAAATACCATTGTCTTTCATGTTTGGTGATGTTGCTGTTGTTAACACTGCAGTGAAATGCATATATAAGCAAACTACGTTATGTACGCATGAATATGGTCCTTTGTTTTGAAAATTTGATCACTGATTGTTTGCAGTCTTTCGTTGCGGAACTACTCTTTCCCTTTGAATGTTTTGAGAGGTTCCTTTGTTCAGATCAGTCCAATTTTATTTCTGGATTGGTCTCTACTTTCCCTTTCCTCACTGGTCAAGCGAGGTCTGTCTTTAGTTGTTTGCTATTACTAACATTTGATGGCCACACTTCAGCAAGTACATTTGTAAATACTCTGTCCCTCTCTCTTAGTCTGTAGTCTAGAGATCATATTGGTTAATGAAATTATGAAGAGGGAACATATTTATAAAAACCCAGAAATTCTCGATGCAGAAAGTCTAGCTGATTGTGAACCCAAAATACCCGAGACAGGTCTCAACCAATTTAGAAAGTTTATTTTGCCAGGGTTAAGAACACATCCATGACATAGTCTCACGAGTTTCTGATGACACGTGTGCAACGTGTGCAAAGTGGTTAGGGTACAGCTTGCTTTTATACATTTTAGGGAGACATGAGACATCAGTCAACATGTGTAAGATGTACATTGGTTCGAACCGGAAAGGCAGGACAACTCGAAGCAAGGGGCTTTCAGGTAATAAGTAGATAAGAGACAAAAGGTTGCATTCTTTTGAGTCCTTGATTGACCTTTCACTGAATAGTCTGGCTCAGTGAATCTGCATTTTTACATAAACAATAGGGCAGAGGAAGCAATCAGAAATGCAGTTGTGTCAGGTGAGCAGAGGGATGACTTTCTGTCCCTCACCTGTGAAGATAAGCTATCAGTTTACATTGCTAGGGTGAAATTCAACAGAGTTGTTTGAGAGTGAACATCTGGAGGCTCACAAGGAATTTCCTTGTGGGCAAACTGTGAGGGAGGTATGTAGCTTTTTAATCTTTGTTGCTATCTTATTTAGGAATAAGATGGGAGGCAGGTTTGTCTGACATAGTTCTCAGCTTGACTTTTCCCTCGGCTTAGTGATTTTGGGGTTCCGAGATTTATTTTCCGTTCACGTATCAATCAGATCATTTGGTTTGTGAAGTTTCCTATGCTTAACAGAAAATATGTGCACTAGTTTTCCTAGAGTTTCATTGTCAGAGTCTCAAGTTTTTGTTTGGAAATTGTATTTGGTCACATTAATTATACTCTATATTAGTTCCAAAGAAATAACTCTGGTTAAGAAAATAATTCTCATGCATAACTCCACGAGGGTGGGGTTATACCTTAATCCATCCTCATGTGCTCACAACAACTGGGGCAAATGTGTTGCCCAGTGCTGGTGTTCTGCAGCCTTGGATAGGTTTACCCAGAAAGCAGCTTTCAAGTCAGAAACTAACATTCATAAGGGAGTTGAGGATTTTATAAATAGATATCCGTAATTCATGTAGTTTTCAAGTAAGTAGTATTTGAATCTTTTCTGGTTAGATAATAATTGTGATGTGTTGTCATATAATAATATATTTTTCATTATTTAAATAATTTTAGAGTTACATTGAAAAATGGCTGTAGGTATTTATGGAATACTTTTTCTTTTCTTCTTGATTATCAAGGCTTGGACCCTGGCAAACAGATTAAACTGGATTCCAGTACACAGTTTGGATATTACTTTCGTGTAACCTGTAAGGAAGAAAAAGTCCTTCGTAACAATAAAAACTTTAGTACTGTAGATATCCAGAAGAACGGTGTTAAATTTACCAACAGGTTTGCAAGTCATTATTATATTTTTAACCCTTTATTAATTCCCTGAATGCTCTAACATGATGTGAATGTTCTATGATAAGGAAGTTTTACTAATGTAGTCATCAGGTAAGAGTCAGCTGACAGCAGTCAGCTGTCCCAATACCATTTGCTAAATAATCCATCTGTTCCCCACTGACTGAAGTGGTACTTTGGGTCTGTTTTAAAGAGTCTACTTTTACCTTGTCTCACCATTCTTTTGTCTACGCAAAATATATTTTATCACTTATTCTGTGTTACCATATCTATTAGAGCTAGTTCCCGCTCATATCTCGGCTTTATTTTCATGTTTCTTTTATCTCTTTTTTTTTTTTTTTCCCCTGAGACGGAGTCTTGCTGTGTCGCTCAGGCTGGAGTGCAGTGGCATGCAGTCTTGACTCACTGCAACCTCCACCTCCCGGATTCAAGCGTTCTCATGCTTCAGCTTCCTGAGTAGCTGGGATTATAGGCCTGCACCACCACACCTGGTTTATTTTTTTATTTTTAGTAGCAATGGGTTCTCACCATGTTGGACAGGCTGGTCTCGAACTCCTGGCCTCGAGTGATCCACCTGCCTCAGCTTCCGAAAGTGCTGAGATTACAGGTGTGAGCCAACGTGCCTGACCCACATGTTTATTTTTTGTAAGAAAGCTGCTATCATTTATCAAGTTAAAAAAATTATTCTGGTATTTCAGTTGGGTGTTTAAATTAGTTTAGGGAAATATGAGGCCATGAGGCCATTCACTAGATTCTAGCTTTTTTTTTTTTTTAATCTTGTTTCATGTTGAAACAAATCTTAACAGTTTTTTCCTGCCATTTTTCTAACTGATCTTAGGAAGTCCATGAAGCAAATTGTTGCTATGTAAAAAAAAATTATTTTAAATTAATTAAAAAATTTTAAAATTATATTTAAAATCTTCTGTGGCTTATGGTGGGGGGAGGCTAAAGCCTTTCTCCTTTTGTACTGTTCTGGAAACTACTCCCTCCCCTCCTGAATTTTCCCAGAACTTTACAGGTAACTTATATATATATGATCCCCTGTCATCTGTTTATTTAACAAGTACTTTGAGTGTCTGTTATATGCAGACATTCTAGGTGTTCAGACACCCTAGTAATTAGTTTGTTCTTCATAACTCTCAGTAAAGAAGACATGTATATTTCTCATTTTATAGGTGAAGAAGCTAAGACTTCACTTTTCCTCTGTTAGACGGCTAGTGCTGGTGGATGCCTAAACTTAGATCTTCTGTTGCCAAATCTAGGTGTGTTGTTTTTCCAGCACACTAGAATACTCCTGGTTCAAGAAATGTATATATTTTAGCTGGTATAAGATACAACTTTTGGGGTGTTCTAATCATCTTCAAGTTTTTTGTGGGTTAGTTATAACATATGAAAAAAGATTGGACTGAATGGCCACATGATGCCAAGAGTGAAAGTCACTCACTAGGTTATGACCTGTAGAATCTGGTCCCTGCATGCCTCTGCTTTTATATTTTGCAACTTGTCCCTTCACACAGTGGTCTCACTTTTATAATGTCTTTCCCTCATGCATTTCTTTAATTCTTTTTTTTTTTTTTTTTGCCTGTTTCATAGTAGTCTGTTTGTGCTGCTACTTGCCCCTGTACTGTTCTTGAGCTATACATGTCTGCTGTGCCATTGAGTGATTCCATCAAGGCCACAATTATCATCTTGATGAACTGATTTTCTCCCACTGCTGATAATTACTTCTCTCCTTTCTTTCTCCTTTACATCACCTCTTTTTGTTCTTAGTTTCATTCCCTTCTTGATTCCAGTTAATATTTTTTTCTTATTCTCATCTTTCTTGAGTATTTTTTATGTCAACCTCTATTTTTTGTTTTCTTTTTTTTCTTTTTTTTGGTGAAGGGTTTGGCTTTGTCGCTCAGGCTGGAGTGCAGTCGCACAATTTCGGCCCACTGCAACCTCCACCTCCTGGGCTCAAGCCATCCTCCCACCTCAGCCTCCCAAGTAACTGGGACTACAGGTGTGCCCCACTACTTTGTATTTTTAATAGAGACAGGATTTCCCCATGTTGCTCAGACTGATCTTGAACTCCTGGGCTCAAGCAATCCACCTGCCTTGGCCTCCCAAAGTGCTGGGATTACAGGATTACAGACGTTGTGCCCGGCTCAACCTCTAATTTTAATTTTCTCTTCAAATTGCTCAACGAGATTTAGTTTCAAGACATTTTCCTGGCTGTGCATGGTGGCTTACGCCTATAATTCCAACACTTTGGGAGGCCGAGGCGGGTGGATCACTTAAGGTCAAGAGTTCGAGACCAGCCTGGCCAACATGGTGAAACGCCATCTCTACTAAAAAATACAAAAATTAGCTGGGTGTGGTGGCACATGCTTGTAATCTTAGCTACTGTGGAGTCCGAGGCATGAGAATCGCTTGAACCTGGGAAGCAGAGGTTACAGTGAGTCAATCATACCACTGAACTCCAGCCTGGGCAACAGGCTCAAACAAACAAAACAAAACCCATTTTTCTTATTTTGAAAACTTTTAGTATTGAAAGATATTTTTCCTACAGTAATGAGAAATACTGTTTGTGTGTTCGTTTGTGGGTTTTTTTTGTTTTTTCTTTGCCTTTTTTCTTTTTTTTGAGACACAGTTTTGCTCCTGTTGCCCAGGCTGTAGTGCAGTGGCGCTATCTCAGCTCACCACAACCTCTGCCTCCCGGGTTCAAGTGATTCTCCTGCCTCAGCCTCCCAAGTAGCTGGGATTACAGGCACGCACCATCGTGCCTGGCTAATTTTTGTATTTTTAGCAGAGACGGGGTTTCTCCATGTTGGTCAGGCTGGTTTCGAACTACCAACCTCGGGTGATCCACCCGCCTCAGCCTCCCAAAGTACTGGGATTACAGGCGTGAGCCACCACGCCCGGCCGACTTCAATCTTAAATAAGGATTCCATTTAAATATTTTGTAAAAGGGCACAGGTCATATTTTTACTCAGGGGAATATAGTTATAGCAGGAATTGTGCCATTGCGCTATTCCAAACAGCATAAAAGAGCGTTAATAAATTGAATTCTAACCACATTTGTCCCTAAGGAGTTGTCTGTTTTCCACTTGTATTTCCATTTTAATTATTGTTTTGATGTTTCATAGGATACTTTGGATATGTTTCATGTAGTACACATTGCTTCTAGTACACATTTTAATATTTTTAATAAAACTGTTATGTTGATTTGCAGCAAATTGACTTCTTTAAATGAAGAGTATACCAAAAATAAAACAGAATATGAAGAAGCCCAGGATGCCATTGTTAAAGAAATTGTCAATATTTCTTCAGGTAAACTTAATAGAAATAGTAATGTTCTGAATGTCGCCTGGCTTTTGGTAATAGAAAAAAAAAATCATGATATTTGAAGTGTGTTTTGTTATTTTCTAAAACCATTACATTTTGACTATTTAATATGTTAGGTTTCCTATATAAAATAAGGCATGGTATGTTACGGTAGGACACATAACTGGAAATTACTCTTGTACATAGAAACAAAAAATGGCAGAAAAGCACAAAACTTACTATAGTTGTAATAAGGAAAGGAAACACTAGGGCCTACAACATACTAATGTCTTGGGTCATCTATGGGCTCATGAGGCTCTAGGTTATGGAAGTAAATACCACTGAAAAGCAAATATTAATTACACACGAGGCAGTCCTTTTTGAGTTCTGTGTGTCATTTTGTAGATTTTGAGTTCATTCTAGTGGCACCATTTGAGATCATTTTCATGTAATTAAAGGAACACAGCAACCTGACACTGTTATTGCCCTTAGAATGGAATGAGTATATGTTTAGCACAAAGTAGGTGGTAATGTGTTAAGTTGGAAGGCTTTGCCGATCATGGTGTGTATGTTGACTGTAACCTTTATTGTGCCTTTAAAAAATATACTCAAGAACTACCTTACCCAAGTAATTAAAGTTAAAATTACCAGTCATGGGACAAATGACCTGTACTTCCTGGTGTAATATAGAAGGAAGGACACAGTATCACCTATATGGTATTCTTGACCAAAATATTTAACCTGATTTTAAACAAGTAAAAATTCAAATAAATTTAGATTGTGGTACATTCAGGGCCTGAACTTTAATAAATGTCCATGTCATGGCAGCAAAAAAGAAATCAAAAGGTCTTAAAGAGACAGGGCAGCCAAACGCAGTAGACAGTTGTTGATTAGACCCCAATTTAGAGGTTGGAACTGAGGAATAGCTATAGAGGACACTATTGGGGCGAATTGAGAAAGTTTAATATGAGACAATATGGTGTTAGCGTCAGATTTCTTGTGTGAAATGGTAGTGTTATGATTAGGAGAATGTCCTTGTTCTCAGGATATGCATGCTAAATTATTTAAGGGTAAATATTTTTTTGAAAGGTTATGTGCATGAATAATTCTGTAAATTGTGTTGCTATTATGAATTGTTATAATAAATCAAAAGGAAATATAAAACTCAAGGTTTTATTTTAATACACTTTATGTATTGTTGAAATGAATGGAATTGATTTGTAAAGATTACATTTTTGCTTGTTTGTATCAGAAAGCAGTGACATAATAATCTTCTAGCTGAATTATGTTTCTTAGGCTAGATTGCATTTTAAAGAACCCTATAAATACCATTTATTTGAACTATGGATCTTCCTTAAAAAATAATATTTATTAAGCACCTAGCAGGGCAAAGTTTTTAGATTTTAACATTTAAATTGAAGATTTTATATTAGAAGTCAACCTGAATTTAAATGAAACTTCTTCTTGGTCTGATATTACATATTACAAAATATTTGTATTTAAAAATATAATGGAGGCCGGACATGGTGGTTCACACCTGTAATCCCAGCACTTTGGGAGGCTGAGCTAGGAGGATTGCTTGAGCCCAGGAGTTTGAGACCAGCCTAGCCAACATAGGGGGACCCTGACTCTACAAAAAAATCCCCCCAAAATTAGCCAGGTGTGGTGGTGCATGCCTGTAGTCCCAGCTACTCAGGAGGCTGAGGCAGGAGAATCACTTGAACACAGGAGGTCGAGGCTGCGGTGAGCCATAATTATGCTACTTCAGCCTGGGCAACAGAGCAGAGGTTGCAGTGAGCTGAGATCACGTCACTGCACTCCAGCCTGGGCAACAGAGCAAGACTCCATCTCAAAAAGTGTAATGGATCACTTTTATAATTTTCTATCATACAATTAAGTCACAAAAGGTTAAGAGCCAGTTATGTGACATGCCAAGTATAGACTCTTAATTAAGATGCTTTGGTTTGCTTTTGGTATATATGTATGTATGTATGTATTTGATGGGGTCTTACCATGTTGCCCAGGCTTTAGTGCAGTGGTGTGATCATGATTCACTGCAGCTTCAACCTCCTAGGTGCAAGCAATTCTCCCCACTCAGCCTCCCAAGTAGCTTGGGACTACAGGCATGTGCCACCACACCTGGTTAATTTTTTAAAAATTATCTTTTGTAGAGATGAGGTCTCACTATGTTGCCCAAGCCAGACTCAAGCAATCTTCCTACCTTGGCCTCCCAAAGTATTGGGATTACAGGCGTGAGCCACCCTGCCCAGCCTAGTTTTCTTTTTTTACTATAAACTTATTCTTGTCAGTATGCTAGCAATTTTACAAGTTTTAAAGTAGTTATAGCAAGTACTTCACTCATGTTTAATTCTTAAAGGCTTATATTGCTATATAATAGGGAAGTGTGAATTCTTCCTTTCTTTTTCTTTAGAAAAACGTATTCGGTAAAAGTAATAAATTTTAAAAGTATACTGAGGCCAGATGCTCACACCTATAATCCCAGCACTTTGGGAGGCTGAGGCGGGTGGATCACCTGAGGTCAGGAGTTCGAGACGGGCCTAAGCAGCATGGTGAAACCCTCTGTCTATAAAAGTACAAAAATTAGCTGGGTGTGGTGGCAGGTGCCTGTAATCCCAACTACTCGGGAAGCTGAGGCAGGAGAATCCTTTGAACCCAGGAGGCGAGGTTGCACTGAGCCGAGATCACACCATTGCACTCCAGCCTGGGCGGCAGAGCAAGAGCAAGACTCTGTCTCCAAAAAAAAAAAAAAAAAAGATATACTGAAACAGAGGAAGATAATTATGTCTGCTTGGCCCCATTGTTAAGTTGATTTTTATTTTGAAAACATTTGATCGCTGTTACGGGGAACAAGGGAATAAAAAATGAGTTAAATTTCCAGCCCCTTTTTGGTTTTCCTAGAATTAAACGCTTTTATCTTGAATGTTCTGTGAAACTTTTGACATGATTGATAGCTGTATGATAGTCTGAATGACATGTGGATCATGTACCAGCCCCTCCAACCTGTTAACATTTAGAATCTTTTCAGAAAAGTTAAAGCATTGTTAATTTTCTTCATGTTTTTTGTCTAGCATGTGTCAGAGATTTTTTTAATGTACCTATTAATAGCGTTTAGTTTTAATACTCTAGAACAGTAGAATCTTGGAAATGTTTTAAGTGACAATTAGAGATTTAAATTTATGCTGACATTCTCTGCATGTGATACTAAAGAAAGCCAAACTAACTGTTTTACGATCAGTTTGTACAATATACCAGGCCTTGATGGTCACATTTCAATATGCTACCTTTTTGCTTACATGTGTCTTATGATGATTTTGAGGTGTCATTCTGGTTTCTCAGATACTTAAAATATAGAAAAAGGTGTGTCTTAAAATTGAGAGAATGTCTTAGATATCACTGCACCGTTTCTCTTAACCTAATCAATATATTATCAAAGTGTCTCCTTGTTAGTTTTCTTTTTTAAAGCTCTACACATTTCTTTATAAACAGCTGTATAGTTTTATATTTTAATGATAATGGAAGGTACTCTACTTTTGTTTTTTGTGTGTTTTTGTTTGTTTTTGAGACAGAGTTGCCCAGGCTGGAGTGCTGTGGTGCAATCTCAGCTTACTGCAACTTCCACCTCCTGGGTTCATGCAATTCTGGTGCCTCAGCCTCCCGAGTATCTGGGATTACAGATATGCACTACCATACCTGGCTAATTTTTGTATTTTTGGTAGAGATGAGGTTTTGCCATGTTAGCCAGGCTGGTCTTGAATTCCTGGCCTCATGTGATCCCTAGTCTCATGCGATCTGCCCGCCTCGGCCTTCCAAAGTGCTGGGATGATAGGTGTGAGCCCTCAACCCAGCCAGTACTCTGTTTTTGATAGCTATTCACAATGGGGAAGGATGTAGCACACATTTTAACCCTATGTTGAGTTTTAGGTGGGTTCCTTTCAAATTTTGTTAAGGCTAATTTTGTTAATTTTTTTAAAAAAGTATAAGTTAGGAAATGGGTTTTGAATTCCCAAATGGGGGGATTAAATGTATTCTTACAGCTTATATCTGTTTATTATTCAGTATTCCTGTGTACATTCTCTGTTTTTATTTTTATACAGGCTATGTAGAACCAATGCAAACACTCAATGATGTATTAGCTCAGCTAGATGCTGTTGTCAGCTTTGCTCATGTGTCAAATGGAGCACCTGTTCCATATGTACGACCAGCCATTTTGGAGAAAGGACAAGGAAGAATTATATTAAAAGCATCCAGGCATGCTTGTGTTGAAGTTCAAGATGAAATCACGTTTATTCCTAATGATATATACTTTGAAAAAGATAAACAGATGTTCCACATAATTACTGGTAAAAAACCTGGTTTTTGGCCTTTGTGGGGATAACATGTTTTTTGTTTGTTTGTTTGTTTGTTTTTTATCTTGGAGTAGAAATATATTTAAAATTGATGGAGAAAATTCCCAGTTCTTAACATGAGAAAGAGAACATATTATTCTTACCAGTTAGTAATCTATTCACATTTGGATTAGAGGAAAGATTTAGAAGGTGAGATAAAAGCTTATGAGAGAATAATGTATTCCTTGAAACTTGTTCCACAGGTTCAGAACATTTAGAAACAAACATCCCTTCACACTCAAAGCTTACCTTTGAGCCAGTCCTCCAATACTGAGGTCTTTGAAAGTCAGGCCGAATTGGCTATGGGAGGACCTCAGGTTAGGGTACGAATTATTTTAAAACATGGCGCTATATTCATGTGAAACTCGAAAAAACTAGCCTTGCATATAGACTCATGTATCATGTCTCCGCTGAGATGTTTGAGAGATCTTAACTAGATCTAGAAAACAAAAAAGGAAGTAGGAGTTTTGGGGCAAATATATTTGGGAAACGGTTGATTGTATTTTCTTTCCCCAAATGGATTTTCAAGTTGTTCATATAATATAACCCCAACAAATAAATCGCCTGTTTTTCAAAAGAAGGATCCTGTTTTCAGGTTTTTGTGTGGGTTTTAAGTGGTTCGAAAGATTTGACCATACTGATACACTCACTAGTAACCTCATTTACTAATGAGTAACGGTTTTGAGTTAATCAGTTAGGCCTGCACTACTTTTCTGGAAATCAATAAATTATCCCACAGGCAGCCTTGTGAGCCATGGGAAATGTGTATATGGTCTTTCTAGGCCAGAGTCAAATTACAGGTATATTTTTCATGGCTTCTCTTGATGAAAGGCCCAGTATCAGTTTGTCTGAAGAAATAACAGCATTGCTTTTGGGGGTAATATGGGCAGTAACTCTGTCCACATCTTTGGGCAGCCTGTGGTTCTGCTTTTGTATGCCACGTCAGTGTAAACTTACATGATTAGTCATCATTGTACAGCTTAGGACTAACATCCATTTATTAGTAGCAGAAAGAAATTTAAAATCTTGATTTCTGATATAATTTGTTTTGTAGGCCCCAATATGGGAGGTAAATCTACATATATTCGACAAACTGGGGTGATAGTACTCATGGCCCAAATTGGGTGTTTTGTGCCATGTGAGTCTGCAGAAGTGTCCATTGTGGACTGCATCTTGGCCCGGGTAGGGGCTGGTGACAGTCAGTTGAAAGGAGTCTCCACATTCATGGCTGAAATGTTGGAAACTGCTTCTATTCTCAGGTAAGTGCATCTCCTGGTCCCTTGAAGATAGAAATGTATGTCTCTGTCCTATGAGAAGGAGAAGTATATTTGCAGATTCTCATGTAAAAACATCTGAGAATGTTTGTCTTAGTTTAATAGTTGTTTTCCTGTGGACTTTATATACTTTGTATTATCTTAAAAGAGTGATTGATGATAGCTATGGAAAACTTTGATTTTTAAAGTTGTCTCTTTAAGTAGACAATTTATAAGCTACTGGTACTAGCTCACCTTATAAATCTCCACTACCATGTTTTCACTTGCACTGTTCACACTTCCTGGAATGGTCCTTCTTGCCCTTTATCCAACTTCTTTCTAATTTTTAAGTCCCTGATGATGGAAATGCTACTTCTGTAGTGATTTTTCTCATCATACGACCCTAAGGTCATGGGTGTTTTTCTCTGAACTCCTCTTTGAGATGCCTGTAACTTAAACCACATTTTTATTTTAGACATTACTGCATTACTGAAATGTTTTGTCTTTATTTCACTTTTTAGGAGCTTCCTTGAAGGTAGGGACTATACCTTGTATTTCTTGGTTTCTTTTTTTTAAAGTTTTTTAGAGAGACAGAGTCTTACTCTGTTGCCCAGGCTGGTCTCGAACTCCTGGGCTCAGGTGATCTTCCTGCCTTGGCTTCCCGAAGTGCTGGGATTACAGGCATGAACCACTGTGATCCTCCTTGTTTCTTAGTATCTTCTAAAGTACATTGAATATAGTAGTTGCCTAGTAAATTATGTGTTGATTTAACTTCTTTGAGGTTCTGTTGTTTGTGAAGAATTATAAAAGCAATTAATATTCATGAATTAAAAGATTAAAGAAATAAACAAAACATGTTAGCTGGCAACTCACAGAAAAAGAATTAAATTGCCAATGAGCACACGAGCACATGAAAAAGTAGCAAATGTATGTAAGTTTCACCCCCTTACATATATTTGGTTAAAAATGAGAGAAGAATGGTAATAGCTGGTATTAGTAGGACTGTGGCAGGCACACAATTTACATAACCACCAAAAGTGTATGCAAGTATCTATGTCACCACACCCTGGTCTCATCTTCATTCAGTTTTATTTTTATTTTTTTAATCTCGGCCGATTTGATTGGCACGAAATGAATGATAGCTGCCTTATTTGGAATTCCTTTGATTACTACTAGTGTGCTTGACAATGTAAAACAATATTTATTCAAAATCTGTTTTCCCTTTCATCCATTGTTTATTCATGTTCATGCCCTTTTTTTCCTTTTCTCCTTCCTTCCTTCCTGCCTTCCTGCCTTCCCCTTCCTCCCACCCTCCCTCCCTCACATACATAGGTGTGTGCTACCATACCTGACTAGTTTTTAATTTTTTTTTTTTTTTTTAGAGGCAAGGTCTCACTATGTTGCTCAAGCTGGTCTGGGCTCAAGTGATCCTCCCACCTTGGCCTTCCAAAGTGCTGGGATTATAGACGTGAGCCACCATGCCTGGCCCATGCCCATTTTTCTGTTGAAGTTTTAGTGCTTTTTATTGACTTTGTTTATATATTAAGATAATTAATCTACTATGTTTGTGGCATATCCTTCCCAATGTATTGTCTTAATTTTGTTTTTGTATGTGTATGTTACCACATTTTATGTGATGGGAAATTTCATGTAATTATGTGCTTCAGGTCGGCAACCAAAGATTCATTAATAATCATAGATGAATTGGGAAGAGGAACTTCTACCTACGATGGATTTGGGTTAGCATGGGCTATATCAGAATACATTGCAACAAAGATTGGTGCTTTTTGCATGTTTGCAACCCATTTTCATGAGCTTACTGCCTTGGCCAATCAGATACCAACTGTTAATAATCTACATGTCACAGCACTCACCACTGAAGAGACCTTAACTATGCTTTATCAGGTGAAGAAAGGTATGTACTATTGGAGTACTCTAAATTCAGAACTTGGTAATGTGAAACTTACTACCCTTGAAATCATCAGTAATTGCCTTATTCTAAGTTAGTGTAAATTGTTGATGTTTTTATAGAACCCATTTACCCCTTAATTCACAGTCTGGGGACAGGAACACGTACATATTTCTGTATCTCGTAGTAGGACCACTCATTCTAAAGCATTCATAGAAAGAATTATCTGTTTTTGTTTTTGTTTTTGTTTTTTTGAGACAGAATCTAGGTCTGTTGCCCAGGCTGGAGTACGATTCTCTGCTCACTGCAACCTCCGCCTCCCGGGTTCAAGCGATTCTCCTGCCTCAGCTTCCCGAGTAGCTGGGATTACAGGCGCCTGCCACCATGCCTGGCTAATTTTTGTATTTTTAGTAGAGACAGGGTTTCACCATGCTGGCCAGGCTGGTCTCGAACTCCCAACATCAGGCTATCCTCTCCTCTTGGCCTCCCAAAGTGCTGGGATTACAGGCGCGAGCCACCGCGCCCGACCAGAATTATCTGTACTCTTGAACATCACCATGGAGGGATTTTCTGCCACCTCCCATTTCAGTATGTTTTCTTGTTGAATTAGGATAACAAACAATATGCTTTCAAGTTCCAAAGTTCTAGCTGTTATTGTTTAACAAAATCTTCATTATAATTAGCTTATTTTATGCTCAAGAGTGTTATAAAAACAGGTTCATTTAAAACTGGGAGTTCCAGAAATCTTGAAATAGTAGTTATCACATGCAGAGTGACTTATCTATTGTTATTTCATCCTTTCAGGAAAGATTGTTATTGGTGGGCTTGGGGTCTAGTCAGATCTCTGTATTGATGAGATTAACATAATATAAGACTTTCAAAGGTTTTAAAAATCATACTATAAGGATTGATTTCATTAGTCACCAGAATAACTTTTTCAGATGGCGCGCTAATTTTCCACGAACACGTTTTTCTGCATCAGTTGGTTACACATGAGTGAGATAATCTTGGTTCTTTATCCTTTGTTATTTATACTTCATTGGGAATCCTTTTGAGTTACTGTATTTGCGTCATTATTATTATTGCTGTAGAATTCAGGAACTTTTAGTAGATCTGGCAGTTAGCATGAAATTTGCTTTTAAATCATTGCTTGTGTTTTGTAAGCTATGGAAATGTGTTCAGAATGTTTTTTAAAAGGCCAGATGAAGTGTGAAGATAGAAAAACTTCCTCCTTCACTGTGGATGTTTAACAAACATTTGCTTCTACTTTATTTTTGTTTGCTTCCTTTAGTTGTGCAAAGTGTCCAGTTCTAGAATGCATGAGATACATGACAAAGCCAAAAAATTTTTTACAGTTGATGAATAATTGCGGCAAAAACAGCTCTATAATAACTTTGCAATCATCATTTGATTAAATGCTTAAAAAGTCTTGACTCAGTTTTAACTATTTCCTGCAAATAATAAATCAATATTTTTAATTAAATGCTACTTCAAATTAGTGACACTTTTACATGTCTTTCTTTCTCCCTCCCCTTCTCTCTTCCCCCCTTTCCCCCTTCCCCCTTTCCCCCTTCTCCCTTTCTCCCTTCCCCCTTTCTCCCTTCCCTCTTCCCTTCCCTTCCCCCCTTCCCTTGCCCCATCCCTTCCCTTCCCCCATCCCTTTCCTTTCCCCTTCTCTTCCCTCCTCTTGCCCCTTCCCTTTCCCTTTCCCTTCCCCTTCACTTCCCCTTTCCTTCCCTCTTCCCTTCTCCCTCCCTTTCCCCTCCCCCTCTCGTCTCCTCCCCTCCCTTCCCTTCCCATGAAATGAGAAAGCCTCAGAGATATTGGCTTGATTAATTTTTCTTTAGATATTTATCTAAGCCTTTAAGGTTTATCTGTTGAGCTTTTTCATCTCCTATTTTTATTTTTTCTACGTTTGTCAAGGATAAAATACAGCACTGTGTGCCAAGTCATAATCACTTTTCTTTTGAGACTTAATCAAAATTCCTTTAACTGTTACTCTGATACATTTGGCTAATGTATTTGAAGTAATCCAAAATTAAGTTTTCTAATGACAAGGTGAGAAGGATAAATTCCATTTACATAAATTGCTGTCTCTTCTCATGCTGTCTCCTCACGCTTCCCCAAATTTCTTATAGGTGTCTGTGATCAAAGTTTTGGGATTCATGTTGCAGAGCTTGCTAATTTCCCTAAGCATGTAATAGAGTGTGCTAAACAGAAAGCCCTGGAACTCGAAGAGTTTCAGTATATTGGAGAATCACAAGGATATGGTATGGAACCAGCAGCAAAGAAGTGCTATCTGGAAAGAGAGGTTTGTCAGTTTGTTTTCATAGTTTAACTTAGCTTCTGTATTATTACATAAACAGGACACTAAGATGAAGGTTTTTTGGTGTTTTTTCCCCCTCTGTGTTTCTAGTGCTTATTTTTTAATCAATTTGTTTGATGGCAAAGAATCCATTTCTGTGTCATTTTGATTTCTGCAGTATATACATCTGCATGATCAAGATTCAATTTCAAGTACCAAAGTAGGAATAAAGGAATATAGTAAAGGAATAGGTTTAAAATTAGTCATTTCACTAAAATTAATTATAGACTATAGCTAGGTACATCTTTGTTCATAAACGAATATATCAAGTTCAGTTATTAAATTACATATTAGGTAAGAAAAGGACAAATAAGAAAGCATGATTCATAATTCCTGCCCTCTATTTGTTTAGAATTTAGTTGGGGAGATAAGAATAACGAATGTGACACAGAGAATAAAGTGGCACATGACAAATATTTATTCAAAGAAACCATTATGGATGGGATGTTTCAGTTCTCATGGGGGAAGTGGATTTTATGGTGGCTTTTCTTTGAGTATGGGTCATATTTGGGTGTTCACACGGAAAGACCCAAACATATGCCTAATTTTTAAATTAATTACTTTATTTTCTTTGTGATGGAGTCTCTCTCTGTTGCCCAGGCTGGAGTGCAGTGGCGTGATCTTGGCTCACTGCAAGCTCTGCCTGTCGGGTTCACGCCATTCTCCTGCCTCAGCCTCCCGAGTAGCTGGGACTACAGGAGCCCACCACCACGCCCGGCTAATATTTTGTGTTTTTTAGTAGAGACGAGGTTTCACTGTGTTAGCCAGGATGGTCTCAATCTCCTGACTTCGTGATCCGCCTGCCTCAGCTTCCCAAAGTGCTGGGATTACAGGTGTGAGCCACCACGCCCAGCCCTTTTTTTTTTTTTTTTAAATTAGAGGATTACTAGTTCTAATTTAAATTAGAGGATTACTAGTTCAATTATAAAAATAAAAGAATCTTATTTCACTGCCTGGTCCTGGAAACATTTACTGCAGTATACATTGTGACAACTTTTTACTTGTTATGTTTTTAGCTTTTACCTGTGAATTTCTTATTGTTCTTATGTGAAGGATAGATAGTTGCTACAATAATAATAGATGATGTGTATGGTTTTTGAGCCTGAAAAGTATAGTTTTATCTGCTGTACCTATACAAGCAGGAGAAATATAATTCGTTAATAATTTTAGGTATGGCAGGCTGCCATCCCAAATATGAAGTGGTCTTTGTATTTGCACTTTAATGTGTTGAAATCATAGCTTTCAGTGATCCAGCATTAGGCAGACTCTTATGTAATCCCTTGTTTCCAATTAAAATAGACGTTGTGTACTTTTGATAACATTAATTATAATGTATTTTGAGCCCTGTGAGGTTGGTAACATTATTCCCATTTTATGAATGAGGAATGTGTGTTAAGGAATTTGCCCAAGAGTCACATAGCAAGTAATATTCATGCTCTCTGAAGCAGCAATAACTTGGTAATAAAATAAAAAAGAAACAGCTTCTGTATGTGTTAACTTTTCAGTGGTAGTTTTTGCCTTCCAGTATTCTTTGTAAACCTTGAATTCTTTTTTTCATAGAGGATTAAAGTTTATCAGTTATAAAGGTGGAGGAATTTGGGAACTAGACAGTGCACACATAAATAATAAATATGTTCTTCAAATATTGGGTGGGCTAATGTGGGGGCAGTTTGAGACCAGCCTAGGCAACATAGTGAGACCCTTGTCTCTAAAAATATGAAAAATAAAAAAAATTTCTAAAAATGGGTGATGTGTTTAGATGGAAATGAAACAATTTGTCACGGTCTAACAAGACTTTTAGAAAAGATATTTTAATTACTAATGGGACGTTCACATGTTTTTCAGCAAGGTGAAAAAATTATTCAGGAGTTCCTGTCCAAGGTGAAACAAATGCCCTTTACTGAAATGTCAGAAGAAAACATCACAATAAAGTTAAAACAGCTAAAAGCTGAAGTAATAGCAAAGAATAATAGCTTTGTAAATGAAATCATTTCACGAATAAAAGTTACTACGTGAAAAATCCCAGTAATGGAATGAAGGTAATATTGATAAGCTAATTGTCTGTGATACTTTTATATTGTTTTATATTAATTCTTTTTCCATAGTGTTAACTGTCAGTGCCCATGGGCTATCAACTTAATATTTAGTAATATTTGTCTCTGAGGACATTTTCAAAGATCTTTATTTTGAAAAATGAGAGCTGTAACTGAGGACTGTTAGCAATTGACATAGGCAATAATAAGTGATGTGCTGAATTTTATAAATAAAATCATGTAGTTTGTGGAATTTGAGATGCATTGTAGTTCTTTGCAGTATGACTTCTATACACATTTGTTCCCCAATATGTTGGAAGAAAATAGTCCAGAGACCTTGTAAAAGATCTTAAACTGGAGGGCTCCATGGAGATCTTTGCCAGTGACTCCCCCAGAGTGTCCATCTGTTGGCAGGAGCCAGGTTGGCTGCATACGCATTAGCTAAGGAGCTTATTATACATCCAGAGTCCTACAGTGAGCCTCCATCCCGTCTGCCATTCTCCCATCCCTGGTCTATGAAAAGACTTAGAAATCTGCATTTTAACAAAACCTTTCAGGTTGAGAACCCTGATTTAGTCTACTTCTTCTGTTTTACAATAAAGAGATGAAGGGGTTAAGAATTAGCAGCTAATCCTACGCAATGTGAGGGAAAAAGGATAGTCCTTTTAATAAATGCAGTGGACTGGTGGTGCATCCATATAGGAAGAAATGAAATTGGACCCCTAATTCATGTCATATATAAAAATCACCTCCACTCTGGGAGGCCAAGGCAGGCAATCACTTGAGCTTAGGAGATCAAGACCATCCTGGACAACATGACAAAACCCCATCTCTACAAGAAAATGCAAAAATTAGCCAGGCATAGTGGTGCGTGCCTGTAGTCCCAGCCACTCAGACAGCTGTGGTGGGAGGATCACCTGAGCTGGGAGAGGTTGAGGTTGCAATGAGCTGTGATCATTCCACTGCACACCATCCTGGGCAATACAGCGATACTGTGTCTCAAACAAAACAAAACCAAAAAAAATCACCTTCAGTGATTTTTAGACCAAATGTACAAGGTAACAGTATCAAGGTTTTAGTGTTTTATAGTTCTTCAGAAGATAACGTAGGAAAATATTTTTATGTCCTTGACTTTGGGAAGAATTTAAGTCACAGAAAAACACCATCCATAAAGTTTGACTTATTTAGCTAATTGAAATTAACAACTTCTATTAAAAGACACCACAAGTGAAAAGACATGATTCATAGTGGAAGAACATACTGGTACCATATAAAATATCAAAGAGCTGGGCATGGTGTCCCATGCTTGTAGTCCCAGGAGGCTGAGGCAGGAGGATCACTTGAGCCCAGCAGTTCAAGTCCAGCCTGGGCAATATAGCAAGACTGCCTTTCTTTTCTTCTTTTTTTTAATACCTGGAATAAAGAACTCCTATAAAAACACTAAGAAAAGGGGTCACTTAAGAATCTCATTAACAAAAAGAATCTGAATATTTTTCCAAGGAAGATATGCAAATGGACAGTAAGCACATGAAAAGATGCAGATCAGGGAAATGCAAGTTGAAACCACAATGAGCTACAACTTCACACTGATTACGATAGTTAAAATCAAAAAGTCAGATGGTAAGTACTGGCAAGGAAGTGGAGAAATTGAAACTCTCATGCACTGTTGGTGGGAATGTAAAATGGTGCAGCTGCTTTGGAAAACAGTCTGGCAGTTCCTCAGACAATTCCACTCCAACGTATATCCAAGTGGAATCAAAACATATGTCCCCACAAAACTTGTACACAAATGTTTATAGCAGGATTATTCATAATAGCCAAAAGGTGGAAACAACCCGAATGTCCATCAGCAGATGAATGCATAAACAAAACGCGGTCTATCCATACAACGGAGTCTATTATTGAGTCATTAAAGGAGTGAAGTACTGCTACATGGTACAGCTTAGATAAACCTTGAAAACATTGTGCTAAATGAAAGAAGCTGGTTACAAGAGTCTACACATATGATTTCATTCATGTGAAAGTTCAGAATAGAGACAGCAGTAGAGACAAAGTAGCAGGGTTGGTGCCAGGGAATAGGAGGTAGGTGGGGTGAAAGCTAAAGGATACGATGTTTCTTTGTGAGATGGAAGTTCTAAAATTGGTGATGTTTATACATGTCTGGGAATATACTAAAAACCGTTGAATTGTACACGTTAAATGGATGAATTGTGTAGGAATTATTTTTTAATAAAGCTATTTTAAAAAATTCAGACACTTCACCCAAGAGGAAATCTAAGTGGTCCATAAACATGAGAAGGTCTTTAATCACCAGTCAGAAAAATGAAAATGAAAAGCATGCCAGGCCACCTCCAACCTCCCCACCTCCCACCACCATAGTGACAAGCATTTCAAGTGTAGCAGCTCCAGCTGTTGGTGAGGATGTGGAATAACACTGCTAGGGGTGTTCAGATTATCTGGTGAAATTGAAAAGATGCATGCGACCCAGCAGTTCTGCTCTTAGCTGCATACTCTAGAGATGCTTTTGCCCATTGTGCTGCGAGATGTATACAGGAATGTTCCTAATACCCCCACACTGGAAACAACTCAGCAGTGAAAATGAACTACAGCTACACAAAATAACATAGATGGAATCTTAAAACTTTTAGTAAAAGAAATGATACAAAAATGGTAGTTTTTTCTCATTTATGTGAAATTTAAGAATAGGTGGTATTGGTTAGGGATGCAGTCTTTGGGATGGCAACTATAAAGAAAAAGTGATTGTGTCAATCAGGAGAGTGATTGTCTTTAGGGAAATGGGGTGCTGATGGGGTGGGGGCACTTCAGGGTTTCTGGAGGGCCACAGTTCTGGTTTTTAACCTGAGTAGTGGTTTTGCAGGTGCTTGCTTTATAGTTAACTGCAATTTTTTCTTTTAATTCACTTAAAGTTTGGTATGAGAACAAATGTATGGCCAATGAATCCTTTCACATACTCAGTTTACCAAGTTCTTTTTCCTCGTTGTTAATTTAGAGTGAGTTACATCAGTTTTTCTTTTCTGGCTACCAAAAGCTTAGGAAAAAGGCAGACTTACAGAAGAAGATTTTAAATGTGGAAATATTTATTGGTTTACAAATCGTTCTAATCACTTATACATGAAAAGCTTTCATAAAATTCAAAAAGCAAATTTTAAATTCCAATGAAATATTTCATCCTGCGGTTAGTTGTGAAAGAATGTTTTTAGATTGCTGCACAGAAGCATGTTTAACATGGAAATCAGCTCATGGTTTTAGTTGTTAGGGCTACAAGAAACTGGGGGAGACTTGATTCCAAGAAAGCATGTAGTCTATCAGGCTGCTTTCATTTCTCTAAAACAGACAGTGTTCTAAGATGTTTTCAAAAATGAGAAAATACATAATAGATCTGCTTAAGAAGTTTAAAACTTAATCTGTGCTTATTACATGAATATGCTAATATAAAACCAGGCCTTCAATTAGCGTTTCCTTCCTTTTAGAATGGTGTATGTAAAGCAAAATATAAACTAATTTCTGACCTGTCAAAGGTTTTTTTCTTAAAATTTAAATTTATAATGTGGTTTGATTTTTCTTTCCCACTCAAACATGAATTTGGGTAATACCAGAATAAAGCTGAATATATAAATATTATCCAAAATTTAGAACTCTACTGTTAAGAAATCTGTTGACCACATAACCATGTTTCTGAGAAAATACATGATTTTTTGCATCTTTAAAAAAATTAGCACTAAGAAGCTAAGATGAAGTTGTTTTTGTAATTTGATTTTTTTTTTCCTTAAAATACTGTTTTGGAGTTAAAAGTTGTAGCAAAACTGGTATAAGAAAGATGTTTTAGGGTAGATATATTTAAGTCTTGTCTCATACTCTATTGACTAAGCTAGCCCGGTGACTAGGGTAGATGTATTTAAAGAATAACTTTTCCCCCTTAAAATCTCAATATTCCACATCCTGTTAGACTTCTTGAGTATTAAATACATCTTCTATCCTTGGTCTTTCTGCATTTAGCTTTTTTGGGAAGTATGTTTTTACCCACAGCATATGGTATGAGCTGCTGATTCAGTATTGAGTGGCTCTTTAAGCTTGTTAGTTACATTCTGCTGATTAAAATGGTATACAGAATAGTCAGGAAAAACCAGTCCCTGGTCTGAAATAAATTAAACAATGTTAATTAGCTTATGGAGAAGAACAAATGAGTAAAGAGAATTTTCATATACAAAGGAAATCTCTGTTATTGTCTTTCTGGATTCAGTGTATTTGGGTTAAGGAGATAGGGTGCGGCTAGAGAAAATGATGAAAATGTCCAGAATGTTACACGTATTTTTACACTGAAACGAAGTGGAAGCCCAGTTTAATAGTTTTCTGTCCAATGTTGCCCTGTCTTCACACCCACACCACTTATCTTGATTGATAAATCTACTACTTCCTCTTATTCTGCTTCAGAAGTTAACCTCTATGGTGCAGTGCTAGGATATCACAGAGGAAATAATCCCTTGTTGACAATGTCTTGTTGCTGGGAGTCATCAACGCCTCCTGTTCTAAGGAGGACAATGGGAAGCCCTTGCCTTGCATTTGCTACAGCCGTTTCCTTGACTTCCCTGGAAGAACAGTATTTCATGGTGTTAGACAACATTCAGAACGTGCTCGAATTCAATGTATGTCAGTACACACTTGCTTTGGTGTGTAGTTTGTCCAAACCAAAGTGCCCATACATGTCTCTGGTCCAGCCATGTGGGAAATTCAGCAGTGGGGTGAACCATATGGAGACGGCAGGTGTTGGGCAGCCTTAACAGGACTGCCCTGGTCTTACTTCTGGACTTGGTGAGTAGAAGATCACATTGTTGCTTGCTGCCCTGGGTTCACCTCAAAGAGGGAAAGAAAAATTCGAAACTTAAATGGTTAAATTTAGAAACAAGAAAAAGTTCTGTCAGTGGGCAATTTCTTACGTCTAACAAAAAAACAACAGCAATGAATTCCTTTGTGTTCAGAATCAACCAGTAAACACAACTTTAGCAATTAACCTATCACTATCACAATTGTTTGTTTCCTGGAATTTTGTTGACAGAATTAGTCCAATAAATGTTATAAGAAATAATTTTATGAATAGATAGGTAAATGACATATTCAGTATAATTAAATCTAAGACAATGCAACTTTAAAATTCAACCACTGCCCTGCAATTTTAATATGCCTTGTCCATCCAGCAAGATACATTTTGTACGTTTTTTTCACATGATTAAAACTTAATA